TCCCTTGATGGCTGGTGTTGACAGCGACATACTTTAGTCCCGAGTACTTGAACTGGTATCCTTTGATGGCTGGTGTTGACAGCGACATACTTTAGTCCCGAATACTTGAACTGGTATCCCTTGATGGGTGGTGTTGACAGCGACATACTTTAGTCCCGAGTACTTGAACTGGTATCCCTTGATGGGTGGTGTGGACAGCGACATACTTTAGTCCCGAATACTTGAACTGGTATCCCTTGATGGGTAGTGTGGACAACGACATACTTTAGTCCCGAATACTTGAACTGGTATCCCTTGATGGCTGGTGTGGACAGCGACACACTTTAGTCCCGAATACTTAAACTGGTATCCCTTGATGGCTGGTGTGGACAGCGAAACACTTTAGTCCCGAATACTTGAACTGGTATCCCTTGATGGCTGGGGTGGACAGCGTCATACTTTAGTCCCGAATACTTGAACTGGTATCCCTTGATGGCTGGTGTTGACAGCGACATACTTTAGTCCCGAATACTTGAACTGGTATCCCTTGATGGCTGGTGTGGACAGCGACATACTTTAGTCCCGAATACTTGAACTGGTATCCCTTGATGGCTGGTGTTGACAGCGACATACTTTAGTCCCGAATACTTGAACTGGTATCCCTTGATGGCTGGTGTGGACAGCGACATACTTTAGTCCCGAATATTTGAAATGGTATCCCTTGATGGCTGGTGTGGACAGCGACATACTTTAGTCCCGAATACTTGAAATGGTATCCCTTGATGGATGGTGTGGACAGCGACATACTTTAGTCCCGAATACTTGAACTGGTATCCCTTGATGGCTGGTGTGGACAGCGATATACTTTAGTCCCGAATACTTAAACTGGTATCCCTTTATGGCTGGTGTGGACAGCGACATACTTTAGTCCCGAATACTTGAACTGGTATCCCTTGATGGCTGGTGTGGACAGCGACATACTTTAGTCCCGAGTACTTGAACTGGTATCCCTTGATGGCTGGTGTGGACAGCGACATACTTTAGTCCCGAATACTTGAACTGGTATCCCTTGATGGATGGTGTAGACAACGACATACTTTAGTCCCGAATACTTGAACTGGTATCCCTTGATGGCTGGTGTGGACAGCGACATACTTTAGTCCCGAATACTTGAACTGGTATCCCTTGATGGCTGGTGTGGACAGCGACATACTTTAGTCCCGAATACTTGAACTGGTATCCCTTGATGGGTGGTGTTGACAGCGACATACTTTAGTCCCGAGTACTTGAACTGGTATCCCTTGATGGCTGGTGTGGACAGCGACATACTTTAGTCCCGAATACTTGAACTGGTATCCCTTGATGGCTGGTGTTGACAGCGACATACTTTAGTCCCGAATACTTGAACTGGTATCCCTTGATGGGTGGTGTGGACAGCGACATACTTTAGTCCCGAATACTTGAACTGGTATCCCTTGATGGGTAGTGTGGACAACGACATACTTTAGTCCCGAATACTTGAACTGGTATCCCTTGATGGCTGGTGTGGACAGCGACACACTTTAGTCCCGAATACTTGAACTGGTATCCCTTGATGGCTGGTGTGGACAGCGACATACTTTAGTCCCGAATACTTGAACTGGTATCCCTTGATGGGTGGTGTTGACAGCGTCATACTTTAGTCCCGAATACTTGAACTGGTATCCCTTGATGGCTGGTGTGGACAGCGACATACTTTAGTCCCGAATACTTAAACTGGTATCCCTTGATGGCTGGTGTGGACAGCGACATACTTTAGTCCCGAATACTTGAACTGGTATCCCTTGATGGGTGGTGTTGACAGCGACATACTTTAGTCCCGAATACTTGAAATGGTATCCCTTGATGGGTGGTGTTGACAGCGACATACTTTAGTCCCGAATACTTGAACTGGTATCCCTTGATGGGTGGTGTGGACAGCGACATACTTTAGTCCCGAATACTTGAACTGGTATCCCTTGATGGCTGGTGTGGACAGCGACATACTTTAGTCCCGAGTACTTGAACTGGTATTTAGAAAAGAAAAATGGTGGGGGGGGGGTGGTGGCGGCGAAAGAAAAAAAATAATGGAGGAACACATTCGCAGTCAGTCCTGACAATGTCATCGTAATCTGCCACAGTTGTAGGTATTGACATATCTTCTTCTTCAGCGATCTCTGGTTATCCACCGTGGGCCATAAACTGGGGTGTCATCTCAAGGTCTCTTAGTTATCCCCAAAGCTTAGTTGTCAGGTCTACTTGCTCTACTGCGTCTGTTGCTTCGAAGCTTCTTCAAGAGAGGACAGTTTTGTAAGACGAGTTCTGCAGTCTGTTCAGCACAAAGACACTGTCAGAGATAACAAAAAATCACCTAGGCGGTGCAGCGACAACAAATAGTAACAAAAGTAACACCGCCACTAGACGCCTGGATGCTATGCTGAATGTCTTGGGTTCGAATCAATATGAAGACGGACACCCCCCTCTCCCAAAAAAAATTTTTACCATTGCTTTCACAGTTAACCCATCTCAAAATGGGTTTCAGACGATATCCGTGCAAGTTGACCACATCGCCCACAGGTGCTCATCAGTTTATAAAACAGATATACCTTATATCCCACTGGCGTAGGCAAAGGTGCTTTGGTGTTTCTTTTCCTATAGATAACAAACAACATCTTTACGATTTGAGATGTCCATTTCAAATGCCACATCACTGTATCTAAGCGAAGCACATTTCAGTCTGACAGTAGTGACCTAATCTACCTCATCCTTTGATGGAGGGTAACCTGACCAGACGTTCACCGGTCAAAAAACCCCACAGAAGCCAACCCTGCCATCTTTTTAGTTTCCAGACCTTGCAGTGTACTCAGCAAATCTTCCGTTTGTGTTTCCAAGTTTGTATCGCGAATTCGGAATTACATTTTAGGGGCTTAGATCCAGGGAATTTAGCCTAATCTGTTTGTGTCGGTTCAACTTTGTTGCTGTGTCCAACTCAACATTAATGCCAAATCGTCGCTTGTGCCAACTCAGAAATATTTGCTTGCGTCCCTGAACTCGCGTCGTTCTTGTTAGTTTACTGGCGGCGTCATGGTGACGTGTAAACGGGAGTTATCCCGCTTTTGTTTTGTTAATTGAATTTGCGTTCTCGCTGTTTTTTTAATCAGAGCTCTGTTCTTCGTTGCTTTTATGTTCAACCTTTGATTTAGCTCTTGTTTGTAGTAGCAACAATGCTTGTTTACGTGGGCATAATAGTTGCTACCCCTTACACGTACCCGGGCTGGTAGCTCACATCAACTTTATACTTGTGACGAAGAGGTCAAATCGTTAGTGTCATGCTCTGAGGGCGTAGGTTTCTACTAATATCTCTAGGGATCTGAGCCGAGGCTACGGAGTTCGTGATTTGTGTGGCGCTTTTCACTAGCCCTGTTTGTGGAGAGAGATCCAGCCATATGGAATATAAAGGCGCAGTGAAGTCGATCCTCTTTAACTTTATCGTTTGCCTCCCCCCCCCCTCCCCTCAATGCATTGCCAGAATGCCCTGCTAATTAGGCTATAGGAAACTGACGACTCGCACCCTCCCCCCCCCCCACCCGTCTCTCGTTGTCTCTCTTTATGTCTCCCTCTGTCTGCCCCTATCTCTGTCTATGTCTGTCTGTCTGTCTGTCTCTCTGTGTCTCTCTGTCTGTCTCTATGTATGCCTCTATGTATCTATGTGTCTCTCTCTGTGTGTGTCTGTCTGTCTATGTCTGTCTGTCTGTCTCTGTGTGTCTCTCTGTCTGTCTCTATGTCTCTGTGTGTCTCTCTGTCTGTCTCTATGTATGCCTCTATGTATCTATGTGTCTCTCTCTGTGTGTGTCTGTCTGTCTCTGTCTTTGTCTTTCTCTGTCTGGGTCTGTCTGTCTCTCTGTGTATGTCTCTGTGTGTCTTTGTCTGTCTCTCTATGTGTCTGTAATTCACTTTGTCTGTCGGGCTCTGGCAGTCTCTCCATGTTTCTCCCTCTCACTCTTACTGACCAATTTAAAAGTGTGTGTGTGCGCGCGCGCATGTGTGTGCGCTTCTACTTCTAAAATCCATATTCCAGTGGTCACCGTCTTGATTCGGGACCTCATGTTTACGGACAAGAACAGACTCACTGCCCTCTTACAAGCATGCCGTAAAAGCCAACTATTTAGGGGTTTGCTAAGTCTTGTGTACTGGGCTGAAATGTGCTTATATGGTCGCTTTGTTGTAAACCATAATTGGGCGTCTTGATCACCTTTTAAACGCGAACGCAGAAAAGTCAAGAAAGAAGATCAGCAGGTGGAAGACTTTACCAACTCCCGCCAAGCACTTTTAGATATTCCTGACAGCTTTCACTTTCTCGTTGTCTTCATGTTTAGACAGACTCTCTTTTAGAAGCATGACACTCCAGCCAAACACCAAGGTCTCATTCTCGCGGGACAGAAACTGCAAGTTTTACGTAACTTACTTTATGTGCAGTGGTGTGGTTTTATAGACGAATGATGAGAATACCGAGGACAGATTGAAATGAGTAATAAAGACATCTTGAAAGAAAGAGACTGCCAACATCAGACAGAGACAGTTTTACATTCTTTAGTTGTTTTATGACAAGAAGAACACTTGATTACATCGTGACAGGCCACAAGTTGGAGGTAAAAGAGGCAAAATGAGAACGAGGGGGAGAACATGCTAGATAGTTTGACATCATGGCATGAAAGATCATCTGTGCCAGAGTTGATTAAAAATACACGAGACAGAAGTCATGACTACCAACGTCACACGGCATGGACTATAAGAAGAAGACCGTACTGCTGATTCGCCGTGGTTGTGTGGTTAACGCTCTTGCATTTCAAGTCAGATATTAGAGTTCAATCTACAGTAGAGACAAAAGCATGTTTCCGAGCCCGGATTTTACAAAATGGGCTCAGTCAAAACTAAATACAGTGCTATAAAACACTAGCTGATGGACACAGACTCACTACAGTCTCATGTGATCTTGTTCACAGGGGACCAAACAAGTTGACTTCATCGTTCTAAATGGGATGACCACTCCAGACTACAGCCAACATCTGTATGACGCAAACAGCACCTCGACTGACCATCAG